CAGGAATGAATCCCACTTGATCGTGGTGTATGATCTTTTTAATGTGACACTAAATTTGGTTTGCTAGTATATTGTTGAGGATTTTTGCATCTATGTTCATTAGGGAATATCAGCCTGTAGTTTTCTTTTTTGTAATATCTTTGTCTGATTTTGGGATCAGAGTAATAGTGGCCTCATAAAATGTGCTTGGGAGCCTTCCCTCCTTCTGTATTTTTTGGAATATTTTGAGGAGAATAGGTATTCATTCTTTTTGGAATGTTTTATAAAATTCACCTGTGAAGCCATCTTGTCCAGGACTTTTGTTTGTTGGAAGCTTGTTGATTACGGATTCAATTTCTTTGGTAGTAATCAGTCTGTTCAGAGTTTCTGTTTCTTCTTGGTTCATACTTGGTAGATTGTATGCTTCTAGAAGTTTATCCATTTCTTCCAGATTGTTAAATTTGTTGGCATATAGTTGCTCGTAGTATTTTCTTACAATTTTCTGTATTTCTGTGGCATCTGTTGTCACTTCTCCTCTTTCATTTCTGATTTTAATAATTTGGGTCATCTCTCCCTTTTTCTTGGTGAGTCTGGCTAAGGGTTTGTTGATTTTGTTTACCCTTTCAAAAAAAACAGCTCTAGGTTTTATTGATCTTTTGTATTGTTTTTTTGTTTGTTTGTTTTTGGTCTCTATTTCATTTATTTCTGCTCTGGTCTTTATTATTTTATTTCTTGTACTCCCTTTGGGCTTGTTTTGCTGTTCTTTCTCCAGTTCCCTTAGGTGTAAATATAGTCTGTTGATATGAGATTGTTCTTGTTTCTTTAGAAAAGCCTGCATTGTTATGAATTTTCTCTTAAGACTGCTTTTCTGCATCCTGTAGATTTTGAGTTGTTGTTTTTCATTGTCGTTTGTCTTGAGATAGCTTTTGATTTCTTCCTTGATCTCAGTTTTGACCCACTCGGTATTTAGTAGCATGTTATTCAGCCTCCATTTATTTGTGTGCTTTCCAGGTTTCTTTTTATAATTGATTTCTCGTTTTACAGCATTGTGGTCAGAGAAGATGCTTGATATGATTTCAATCTTCTTAAATTTATTGTGACTGGTTTTGTATTCTAACATGTGGTCTATCTTGGAAAATGTTCCATGTGCATTTGAGAAGAATGTATATTCTGTTGCTTTAGGGTGAAATGCTCTAAAAATGTCAATTAAATCCAGCTGGTCTAAAGTGTCATTTAAGGCCACTGTTTCCGCATTGATTTGCTGTCTGGAGGATCTG